CATGCATTTGTTTTCGTAGCGTTTGCAGTTGTTGATGAGGATGAGTTGAGTGGCGAGCTTTGGTTCTCTTCTCTGTCTGTTCTTCATGCATACAATCCCCTGTATCTATTAGAACTTCTGTATGTGTGTTTGTTTCGCATGCATGCATGCATGCATGCGTGGATGCAGATGCTGATCTGGCTGCGAGCGAAGGGGACATCCGCGACGTATTGGTTCAGGCTCAGGGAGAGTCTGCATTGGAGGAGTTTTTGAGACAGGTGAAAGACTCATGGAGAGAAAGAGAATTCGTGACAGTACCATGCGGGGGCAAATGCAAAGTAATCAAAGGCTGGGAGGAGCTGTTTCAGATTATAGACGATCAGCTCGCTTCTATACAATCCATGAAGATGTCTCCCTTCTTTAAGGTAAAAAACATAGTTGGGGTTTATATATTTTCCTCCATAGACCCCCTCAGAAACCTGAAACCCTAAACCCTAAACCCTAGTTTTCGCATCACGCGCAAGCAACAGAAACATATGTTATGATAGATTCAATGAAAGCGTCCATAATATGTATTCTTTCGTTGCAACGAATATTGCATTCATCTCCTAAACACAATACAGGCTCGAGCCTATCATCTATACACACAAATTTTGTTGGTGTTGTTTGCTTGTTTTCACTTCTGCGTTCGTATTGGCTTCCTATGTACATGCCGTCTCCAGTGTATGTATTTTTTTATCGATAATCATATATATATATATATATATATATATATATATATATTTGTTTTCATCGTTTTTTTTTATGCAGATATTTGAAGAGGAAGCACTGGCATGGGACGAGAAGCTGAACCGGCTGCGTATCCTTTTGGATAGTTGGGTGGAGGTGCAGCGAAAGTGGTTATATCTTGAGGGGGTATTCTCGGGTTCACAGGATATTCAGATGCTGCTGCCTGCAGAGCATCAACGCTTTAGAGGGATCGATGCTGAATTCAAAAGCATCATGAAGAAAGCTGACACAACCAAAGTTGTCCTCGAGGTATATAAATGTTCTGTTGCAGCTATATAATGGATACTCTTCTTGCTTTGACTCGCTTCACCTACTGCTGCTTCCTGTAGACCGCCGTATATATATGCAATATGCACTCTGCGTTTGCTATGTATATATAATCTCTATGAATATATACAGATACGCAGATATATGCATGTATATATATATATATATATATATATATATATATACATATATATATATACATATATATATATATA